AAAAAAAAAATTCACACAAAACACATCCATAGCATATATGTGTTGAAAATTGGCAACTGATGATTAACAAAAGGAGTTCACTTAACATCCTAGATGTATATGAAATCGCAAATAAATCTTAGTCTTCTGATTTTTTTTTCGAGAGTCATTCTAATGGTTAAATCAATTTAAATCTTAAAGAATTAAAGAACTAATAGTTTCTATAGAGTTTAGAAAACAAAAATTACAAGAAATTAAAAAGTCAGAAGATTGAAACCTTTTAATATAAAAGACTTGTAGTATTTACAAAAGGCTGGTGAGGGGTAGTAACCATGTTTTAGTGTTATTTAGTCAACATAATATTCGAAGTTAAAAACATAAGTGGTTTGACTTCATAATTGTAGGAACATTTATTTTACATCAATGAAAATTATCTCTAGATTTTTAAGGTTCTAACTTGAGTAATCAATCCAAGTAAACTCATGTACCTAGATACCCAAGTAGCATTAAGTACCTACTTGGATACTCAAGTATATTATAGGTCATTGTCTCATAGGTTTTTGAGTAGGTAACATAAGTATTGGCGTAGGGTTGTTTATAAAAGAAAAGTATTTTGGGGAAATTTCTTGGAATAATTTTTTATTAGTAATCTCAAGTATTTATATACATATGCAGCTTATAAACCTAATTAATGTGCAAAACAAATAATAGAGTTAGGCTAAAACTTTATATTTGAGCGCCAAAATCTTATTTTAATAAAAAAAATAGAGCTTTAGAAGTTTATCCCTACAATTTAAACAATCGGGATAATTATAGTCCCAACTAGACACCTAAATACACGTGTGGAGACATTCTATATGTGAGTACACGCGTGTTGCATTTGGAGACATACATAAAGAGAGACATGCTAATGCATATTGTATATGGAGTCAAGACATGCATGTACATATACTAGATTCCCGACACTTTGAAGTGTCATTGAGGCCATTGATTTGTTACAGCTTGATTCATTCGCGTTTTAGATTTTTTAATATGATTGATTTTTATTTTAATTGTTGTGATAATTATATCTTATGATAGAGCTGCATTAACTAATGGCAATTAAATTACCCAAAGTTTATCTTTAAATATGTGAAAAATGGCCTAAAGGAAAGGTTTGATAAATGTATTTGTAATTTTATCAGCTAAGGAAATAAACTGAACTTGAAGCTCTTTGCTTGATACTAACTCTCAAACAATATGAAAATCAAATTTCACATATTTTATTTGTACATGAAAAACTGAATTCACTGTCAGATGAACAGTTTTTATATTATTATACCATAATATTGAGTAGAAATCAGTGAGATGCCTACAATTCTCTCAATAAAGATTTGATGCAAATAACTTCAGTAGGTGTATTAACAATAAGTTTATATGCAGTTCCTATGGATGAATGAGTAATGAGATTTTGTTTGGCTGACTGAGAAATTAGATTTTGCTCGAAATAGATTGCAAAGTCACTTGTTGAAACAACAATCATTAGGATTCCCAGTCTAGTAAGTATATGAAAAGCATTAAAGAGTCATGAATGATGTGATAAAATGCCAAGAAAGAGTTGTCTTTAAAATACCACATAATCTACTTGATTAGAATTCATGATCATAGATGGGAACATGTAATAATTAACATTATTTGTCCATAAAAAATGCAATATATAATATAGTGACTATATTATATTGTAAAGATCCAATCATTTTTTGGTTCAAGATTAGAATGGTGTATCAAACTTCTTAGTTGATAGTGGATTGCTGCTCATGGATGTGAAAAAGGCTTTAGCCCATAGCATGTCAATTTGTTCCAAAGGATCAAACACAGACTTATATTTAAAGTAAAATAAGACCAATTTTTATTCACGTTACATCTATTTCTTGAAAGTAGCAAAGTCAACCAAGTGATTTGATAACAAATTCAGTCTAAAGCTTAGATATGACTAATTGAATTATTCATGTTAAAGAGCTTGTAATAAAAATGTCACCAAAATAAACAAATACAAAGTATAGTTTTAAAATTCTAAAAAAATGAAAAAAGATATGTAAGCTCGAGAAGGTCAAAAACCAATATAATGCCTAAAAGGCGTTTAATTGCTTAAACCAAACACGAAGAGCTTATTTGCGAGCATGTAAAGACTTGTTAAGTGTGCACTTAATGAGGACAATCCTTGTCAATAAAGACTTGAGTTTATGTCATGTAACTAGTTTCCTTAAATTGTTATAGAGGAAAGCATTAGAAACTTTAAATTTTTAACTATCCCAATAATTTGGAGATGGTTACGACAATGCCAAGTCAAATAGTTATAAATTTGACAACAAGGGTGGATGTTTCATAATAGTCCAGACCTTTTCTTTGGTAAAGGCCCTTGGCAACCAAACACATCATGTATTTGTCCATGTTAACATCGAGTTTCCTTTTAATCCAATGTATCCATTTGTTATTAATTACATTAGAAGGCTTAGGTACCAATATCCAAGTGTTATTATGGACCAAAGCCTAAGATAACAAGTGAAACAAAGAATATTTTTGAAAATATTTAGAATGATTTTTGTCAATAATCTTATGTGTGTGCGTGCGTGTGTGTATATATATATATATAAGGGTTAGAAACCTAATTAAAGTGTAATATACATGTTAAAATCATATTAAAATACAGTACATGTGATCACTTACATTTGAGCACCAAAATTTTATCTTAATAAAAGTAGAGTTGTATAAGCCTATCTCAGTAGTTTAAATCATCGAGATAGTTAAAGTCCCAATCAAACAAAAAGAACATGCACACGTTGAGTTAGCCTAGATAAGTGAGTGCATATATGTCCGCATGGTGATAAGTTGTGCATATGTTGCGCATAAATTGGGTGTAAAATTAGGACGCATGTGTGCAAATAAATACTAGATCTATCCTGGTGCTTTGGAGTGCTGTTAAAGCCATTGATTCCTTGTAACTTGATCCATTTGGTTTTTAATTAGATTTTTTAACCTTATTTATTTTTATCTTTATTTTTATGATAATTTATATTATTTGACTGTTTAGTAATTATTTAACATTAGGGATCATCTATTAAGTTCCTAATAACTAATTAGCACTAATTATTTACTATCTAGTGAGCTTCTAATAGTCATGTACCATTAGTTAATATTTGGTTAGTTAATTAGTAACTTACTAACATTAGGTATTATCCGATAAGATTCTTGGAAGCTATGTAGCATTATATGCTATCAGATACTATTACACTATAGATAAATGACATTAAATATTACATAGTAAAATGATTAGTAGCTAAGTGGCATCAAGTACTACTTGGTGCATAATAATTGCTCGATACCCAATAGTATTAGCCACTACCTAGTGGGTGATTTTAACTAGGTAGGATTAGGTACTACATTGAGGTGCTCAACAATCATGTAGCATTAGACATTACTTGATGTGGTTATTAGTGCTAGCTAGAATAATATGCATTACTTAGAGAGATGACTAGTAACCAAGTAAAATTAGACACTACCTAGTAGGTTATTTGATAATTGGATAATATTAGATACTACTTAGTAGGTGCCACCTAACAAAGTGGCATTACATATTACCTGGGATGTTACTCAATAACTAGATAGAGTTAAATACTACTTGGTAAGATGCTCATTAGTTGAGAAATATTAAATACTATGTTTTTGTGATATATGATAGTTAGGTAGTGTTAGACACTATATTATAAGGTATTTTATAATAAAGTAACACAAGGTATTATCTAGTAAAGTACTCGATAATTAGGTAGTATTAAGATATTATGTGATATTATGCTTATTAGTCAAATAGTATTATTTATTACTTGGAGGTAGTATGTGTTTGGAATCTAGGTAATATTAAGTTCTATTAGGTGTCTTGCATGGTAGTCAAATAGTGTTAGATACTATCTGAATAAAATGTACCTATATATAATATAATAAATAGTAACCTCGTCGCCTAGTTTGTGGCTTTTGTGCAGGAGAGACACTTTATTCCCAAGCATAAAGGCCTTTACATCAATGGGGAGCCTAATTGGCATGGGTGATAAAAATTTTCATATCACTTACCAATTTCTTAATTAAAATTACTTAATTAAGGAAATAAAATCTTTAAATCCATCACCTTTCTTCACAATAATGTCTCCTGGAATATGAAGGAAGTGATTCTATATAAGTTTTTTTTTTAATGTTCATAATAATGTCTCCTGGAATATGAAGGAAGTGATTCTATATAAGTTTTTTTTTTTTTAAAAAAAAACTTGATACCTCACTTGTTTGGAATTAATGGGTTTTTAGGTAATAGCTTTAATTGGAATTAATCTGGCAGTAACTCTAGAAGACATCTCATGTTAATAATAATGTGTTTGATAAGTCAATTACATTTACTATATGAATGACACTATATGTAATTGAGTCAAAGTATCCATACTAAAGTTAGTTTTTTTATAAAAAAAATCTTGTAGGGATATGCTTCCTACTAAGGAAAACTTGATCAAAGAAATCGTTGGTTTTGATTGCATTCTGTTATGTGCAATGTTGAGTTTAAATCAATTAAATGTGTCATATTTGATTGTAGTTTTGCAACAACTGTTT